CCTGCAGATAAGGAGACATTTCTATTTTATTTGAAAAAAATATTTCATATTTAACATACAGAACATAACAAGACTGTATACGAACTGTCGGACTTCCTTCATCGTTATGTTGTTTCCATCCATATAATTACTTGAGTTTTTGAGAGTTTCATTTCGATTTTCATCATCAGCAGGCTAATTAAATTTAGTGGAGCAAAAAGTGCAATAAACTTGTTTTGCACTTTATTTGAAATTTGTGATGCAGATGCAGTTCAACTTTAGTTGGTTTACTTTTTTTTTTACAATGTAGCCTAAGATGGCAAATATCTCAGATGAGTCAATATAAGAAATACTGAAAACATATTTCACCAATACAGCTAAAGTTATACATATTTAAATAACCGAATTCCTTCGTTTTGTCTAACTTGAGCACAGTGTCATCATAGTATCATTGGCTCATTTTGAAATCCTGTCTGAGTAATGCTTCATACCCTTTATAAACAGCAAGGTAAATTAGCTTTTGTGGAGAATTTTGTATGTATCATTGAACAAAACATGTGGAAGCATTTCCCCAAAAAGTTCAATCTGATCTTTAAAAAGTGCTTTCAAGCATGTGTCATGTGTAAATGTTTTAATACGGCTCTTTCCTATGATCCAGGATCGCACTCCCAACTCCTCGCCGGAAAACGGCAAACACTCTCCTCTGGCGCTTCTAGCGGCGACGTGTAACCGGATCAGTCATCATCACGGATCCACACCCACGGACTTTATTCAAGTTCCCTACGACGTGACCCTCGGGTCTCCATCACGGATTTTCCACCCTTGGAGTAACGAGGCGAATCCCCAGTCCTCGCTTTCCAACAATTCTTCCTTTGGACTATCCTCAAAATCTCACCTGCAGGGCTCCTACACCTCCCACCACGAGCTCCCCTTAACCCCTCCGGCCGACCCCACGTATCCTTATGACTTCTCTCCGGTCAAGATGTTGCCATGCTCCATGCAGTCATTACAGTCAACCTGCCCGCCGACCTACGTGCCTGCCGTCACCTACGCAGCGCCGCCCCCCATCCCGCCCGGTTTCATCCCGGGACACTCAGGCCTGGTCCATCAGCAGCAGAGACAGCTGTCTCCAAACCCTGGGGAGGATATACCGTGGTGGAGCCTTCAGCAAGGAAACCACGTCAGCCACCCGGCGAGCCTCGGCCCCCACCGCTTCCCCATCCAGAGGGGCTTGGTGTTGGGACACACAGACTTTGCACAGTACCAGACTCAAATCGCAGCCCTCCTCCACACCAAATC